GAAATGAAATAAAATAAGATATAAAACCTTTTTGAGAAAACAAAATGTGTATACTGAGAAAAAATAAAAAAATTCAACCATATTATTAGGCAAAGAATTGTGAAAGAAGTAACACTGTTTCAGCTAAGGCAGTCAATATGGTGGAATTAAAGCTAGAAGTTGCTAACTGATAACAACTTGTATTATTGCATCATGCATATAAGTTGTGTTTAACAACAAATTCCTTAAAAACTACAAGGTTGCGCGCTTTGAAACTTCATACAGGGAACTATTAGACCCCTCTCTCTCCCATATTTTCCTTACAGGAACACTCAAACAGACGCGGTATTGGAAGTGCGGTACAAGGCGGTACATAGTATAGTTATGTACCGCCTTGTACCGCACTTCCAATACCGCGTATGTTTGAGTGTCCCTTAATGCTGTAAAGCCCACCTCAACAAATTACTCGTAAACTATGAGTTTCCTTGCCGTCTGGTTTACAGTTTTGTGATGTGTACGACCCCCTCAACGGGAAATGTTTAGTTATTGGCCCATCGTTTTTGGGAAAGGGGACAGTCGCCACTTTACGAATTCGGTTGAAACCCGAACTAATGCATATGAGAAAATACCGAAATTATGAATATGCATACTTTTGTTTTAAAAGCGAAATAATGCATATGAAAAAAAAACGAAGTAATGCATACATGCACAGTTTCGGTTGAAAACCGAAATAATGCATATGGCAAAAACCGAAATAAAGCATACATGCACAGTTTCGGTTGAAACCGAAATAATGTCTAAATGCACAATTTCCATATGCGCAATTTCGGTGCCCCTTCTTTTGCATATTTTGGAGTTTGACAGCTGAACTACGCCATTTAATTTGCAACCAAAGGCAGACGCGTGGTTTTGAAGGTGTTTTTATTTAATAAATTGTGATCGATAGGTTAAAATTAAAGTAATAAAGAAAGTTGTAACAAGTCGAATAAAGTTTAAAGTGAAGGGGAATATAAAAATGCATTGGTGAAGTGGCTGCTTTAAGGAAAATAGGAGTGACAAATGTACGCTAATTTCCGAATTTTACAAAAAAGGGCATATTTCAAACCCAATTTGTAAATAAATTAGTGACCAAAAATTACAATAGTGGATGTTAAAATAATGGGTAGACCCTTGGCTACAAGTGTGTTGGATCGCGTCACCCCTTTGGACGCAATGCCCCGAAATAGGTGGACCACTTACTAAACAGTACCCCCCTCAACCCCCGCCCACACCCCAAAAAGTAATTTTGTTCAAAGCGTGGTGCACTCTCGCTAATAGGGAATTTACACGAGGCGATTGTTCAGGCGATTTTTAGTTGAAAGCAACAATCGCCTGGTGTAAATGGCCTTTCAACTAATCGCTTTCAACGAAGTTGGTCGGCTCCCTACGTTCGTTAAACTTTTGGTTCAACTAATCGCGTGTGAAAGTTGTCATGTAAATTCCCTATAAGTCAACGCACAACTTTTCCTTTATTTCATAAGGTTTTGTATTACGTAACTCAAATTTCTACAATACTTACATTAGCACCAAATACGTTTTCTGATCGCAGATATGACTTAATGCCGCCTTTTCGAAATTTTATAAGCGGGATGTGTTGATTTATAGCGAACAAAATAGAGCTATACCTAACCATTTTGATAGATGATAATATAGTAAAGCTGGAAAACTATCGATGGCGCTATCGATAGTGTCGATGGTTTTTGATTTTCGAAAACATCGATGGTTTCGTAAGCCCTATCGATAGTTTTCACTCATACATATAATATTCAGTAAAGAAGTGTTTGCATTCATCAAGTTTGCGTTCAACATTTGCGTTCAACTCAACGCAGGGTTGCACGAAAAAAAAGTTTAATGGCTAAGGGCCGGTTGCTCAAAGCCTGGTTGACACTAACGTAATTCTCTAGGGTGGGGTAACAACCCCCAAAAAAAGGTGCGGCGTCGTTTGGTACCCGTCCCGACTTTTCCGCACCTTTTTTAGGGGTTGTTACCCCACCCTAGAGAATAACCGACACTAATCCCTGGTTAAACATATTTATCGACGTTACCGACACCGTGTTATATGCATGGAGTCGAAAACGTCGATAACGATGTTAACCGATGATTAGTGTCAACCAGCCTTTGAGCAACCGGCCCTTAATGTTGGCTGGCGACCAACTTTGTTGAAAGCAATTAGTTGAAAGGCCTTCAACCAAAAATATCCTTTATGGTACTGGGACCCACTGCCAGAAAGGCCTCAGGTCCTATCGGGGTCGAGGAAGGGGCTATTCTGGCCAGATGATCAGATGATCAGCAACCCCCAAGTGCCCAGGTACCCACATTAGTTGGATATCATTAACCTCCGCCAGAGCATTAAGCCTCTCGACACACGAATGAGTCGATTATCTTTTATTTTGCTATTGTGTAACTTGATGTACTACTGTGAATGGTTGACTGAATTGTAAACAGCTGTTTGTTTGTTTACATTTGTTTCTTTATATGCACAAGAAATGTTGTATATCTTTCACAATAGAAGCGGAGCTTCCGCCCCTACTCTTTCCGCAAATTCCTTTGCCTATGTCCTCATTCTCCTGCATCAGCTCGACCAACCGCGCAAGTTGCCTTTTGTTGCTTACAATTTTTGACCTGTAATTCAGACACATACATACATATGTAAATTCCACAATTTTTACAACTTCCACATACTGATGGCATAGACCTCCGCTCGAAAGATGCTTGGGAAGGTTCCCAGGCTTCAGCCTGGGGCCGTACACGCCTGCTCCAATCCCCGCAGGTGTTTTGGAGTAGTCAGTGTACCACTGTATTGTGCCCGCCTGTATGTGCCTTTCCTTAATAGAGGTACACCAGGTCGCCTTGCTATAAGTGTAGGTTCTGAAATTCCTTTTGAAGACAACCTTCTGTTGATATCGTCCCTGCGGAGCAAAGCCAGGGGGAGCTGGGTACCTAGCTTGTCCCTGTTCCTAGATGATAGCACCTTGCCTTTGCCGAAGCCCTCCCTCGCAAAGTTAAGAAGGGTTCGCTTTGCAACCTGTTCAACTGAGAGATGCAGTGCCTCGAGTTCCAGCATTACCTCCAACGCTGCCGTCGGACATGTGTGCATTGCTCCCGTAATGCAAACACATGCCAGACGTTGAAGCTTAGATAGTGTCTGCCTCACTGTTACCATAGTAGTCCTGGAATACCAAGCCACCGCACCGTAAGTCACTATAGGTCTCACTATCATGGTGTACATTCATCTGAGGATCCTCGGAGTGCACCCCCAGGATTTACCCGCTAGACCTTTGCACACCATCATCGCTCTCGCGGCCTTAGAGGTGATCGCATCAACATGGGCCTTCGACAGAAGCCTGGAGTCCAGGGTAATAATAATTTAATATTTAAGCCCACGTCTTCGCGCCACCTTTTTGCAAGGTTAAGACCTCCTTGGACGATGTCACAGAGAGTACTAGCGAACTTCCCTCTAGCGATAATCACTATGTCGTCCGCGTAACCTTGGCAACGGACGTAGGAGTTCGTCCACAGCTCCACAGTAGAGGAGATAATACCCTCCCCCTTGCGGGCACCCCTTTGTCGTTTGTATTTGAACGACGCTGTCACCGACTTCAGTTTCGGCGATCCTGGTCTGCAGTAACCTTGCTATCCATCGCCGGATGGTTAGCTGAACGTTATGTTTCTCAAGAGCAGTGTCGACACCCAAATGGGAGGCGTTATCAAAGGCCCCCTCGATATCCAGGAAGGAACAGAGCACCACCTCATCACACTCAAAGGGCCCATTTATTTGCTCCGTTAAGGCATACAGCGCAATGTCCGTGGATCTACCCCAGAGGGGTTTGTTTCAGAGTGTTACACCTGATTTCATGGTCAATAATTTTCTCCATTGCCTTTAACATAAAGGATGAGACTTATCGGCCTGAATGACTTGGCAGGAGAGTAATCTCTCTTACCTGCCTTCGGGATAAAGATGACTCTTGCCCTCTGCCACACCTTGTGAATGTGGGCCAGTTCTAGACTGTCCCTCATAATAACCACAAGATGTGGAAGTAAGAGATCCCCGCCCTGCTTTAGCAACACCGGACATATTCCATCCACCCTAGGGGCCTTGTACCGTTCGAAGGAGTCCAAAGCCCGCCGCACTGTTTGCCGGTTTATAAGGCTTTAAGCCAGCTTCCAGTCCGGTGGGGATGGCCTGAACGCACGGAACATCGTTTCCCCGGTGGTGGAAATGGCGTCCAGAAAGTGGACCGACAGTAGGGCAAGTGCCCTTTCCTGTTCAGTACCTGAAAAGTCCCATTAGCCAATCTGGTGCCTGTGTTGTCCCTTGCCAAAGCTTTATGAAGCCTAGCCCCTGCAGGAGTGGGCGCGATGTTCTCACAAAACGTCCTGAAGCTGCTCCGCCTGGCTTTTCTAATCTCCTTATTGTACTTTGTCAGACTGACGGAGTATTCCTCACAGTTCCCGGTGTGCTTTGCCCTTTTGAAAAGTCTGCGCACCTCCTTCCTAAGAACCGAGATTTCCCGTGGCCACCAGGGAGGTTGAGCCTTCCCCTTAGGCTTTGACACGGGACAGATGGACGTAAAGGCATCTAAAATAGTGCCGTTCGGCCTACTAACCCTGTCCTCTAACACCATATAATCTACCTTTCTTTGTTGTACCTCTATCCTGAGTAGGTTCAGTCTAAGTACCTCTTCATATTTGGCCCAGTCTGTTTTCCTGGGGTAACCTGTCTGACAAACAGCTCCCAGTGCAAACCAGATAATCCTGTGATCCGACAGTGAGGGCTCAAATGAAACCTTCCACTGAACGATCAGAGGACTGGCCAGTCTGTTGCTGAGAGTGATGTCAAGAACTTCCTCTCTGACACTAGTCATGAATGTTGGTTCATTACCGACATTGTGAATGCTCAGGTCTTCGCCAATAATATATTCTAAAAGGCACTCACCCCTGTGGTTTTTGTCCGAACTGCCCCACTCCATATTGTGGGTGTTTGCATCGCAGCCTAGAATAGCAGGAAGTCGTCTCCTGCGGCAGAATTCTAGAAGCCGCTGTACCTCAAGGGGCGGCACGTTGGCGTTGTCCCCCGGAAAGTAGGCTGCAGCCAAGACCACCTCCATCTCCTTGCCATCAATTTTCAAGGTGGCCTGGACCGCTACCAGATCCTGTGTAAAAACTCTGTAATGCAAAAATAATTAATATTATTCTTCAACACTACCCACGCTCTGGAACTCTCGCAGGAGGGGTGCCAAATTACCTTATTGTTATTGTGTTTGAGGCCCCTCAACTGATCGCCGAGGCGGCCACCGCGTGATGCAGATTGAACTGGGCTACTTCTACTGCTGGTGACTTCATAATTGGGGATCGTCGTCGATTTCCGAGAGCCGCGCATCGCCCTCGCTTCCCCTATCGAGTTCGAGCCTGCCAATGTCCGCTAGGAGCTCCTGTGTGGTGCGCACGTAGTCGAGGGCACTTGGCCCGGACCTCACATGAGCTGGTACCTGTTCCGGTTCTATTTGCTGGTTGGCTGGTACCTGTGCCGGTTCTGTCAGCAGGTCGGCTGGTAGGGCCGTGGCCGACTCGGTCGCTGGGGCAGCAGTGGAGTCAGTTGCCGGGTCAACACACATGTCTTGGGACCCTGACTGCTTGCTGCCTGTCGTCTTTTGCCGCCACGGCCTCACCGTGACGTAGGTGTACCGGAATTTGACGTTAAATCCGGCCCTGTTTATACTGACGTACTACGCCTCGTCGATGTCCAGGTTGAGCCTAAGACCGTTGTCTTCGGCAGGGTGCACATTGGAGCAATACGATATGCGATGCGATATGCGATACGATATGAAATGCGCGGAGTGCACATTAGAGCGATGCGATACGCGATGTGGTATGCGAAATGCGACATGCGGTGCGACACGCGATACCATTTTGTGATAGCTTTTGTGCTCTTATAAGCCTGTTAATGAGTTAAATGAGTTGCTTCTCAACCGAGTTTAGACCTTTCGAATGATGGGTCTATGTTTATATCTATGAACTTTAAAAAAATTTAAGAGAAATGTATGTTTAATATGGAGTTAAACTGATGTTTATTTTTAAAAAGTCGGCTAAAAATTAAATGAGATATTCAAATTTTCATGACAAATTATTTCAGAATATTGCGTTCACTACAAGGAGAAATCGGTGACAGCTGAATTAACAAAAGGTTAAGCAAAAATTTTTGAGTTGTATAGCCAAAAATATTATTTTTGTCATGAAAGGTTGAATAACTTAGGCCCCTATTATCATTCGCGAATCGCTTAAGATTGGCGAATCGCTTTTAATGGCGAGTCGCCTTTTGACCAGTATTATGGTTAGCGAATGTACTAGTTCGCATAAAATATGATGTTGCCAGCACCAAAAACAGAAAGCGACGAAAGTGAAACGTCAAAAAAGAACGTAAATTCAAAGACAAAGTTCAAATTGATTGAATGTAATACTAGTAAAAGTAATTCTAAATGATGAGCAGTGTGGAATTATCTTTTGAGAACGAGTACGACGTGGAGGAAACCAACCTGCAAAGACTGAGACGTAGCATCCGAGATAATTCGAACCCGATGGATCTGCCCAATAGGCTGTAAGTAGAATGCCGTTTGCACATTTATCAAAAATAAATATGTAATTTTGTACTCCAAATTCGTTTCATACTTCAGGATCAATAAGGAAGCT